GTTAAGAGGACGCCAGTCGGAAATAGCGATCAAAGTCGCAATTTTGAATGAAAATATCAAAATAACAATAGACTAGTAAATTTAAATCTAAAAAGAAGAAAATTTACTGATAAGGTTGTAAAAATGAAAAAAAATCAATTAGGATGATAGATATCGCCTATTTACCATATACATTACAAAACAATTTGCATATTCAAGTGGTTTATTATTACAGTTTGTGAAATTTTGTTATATCTTTATAAATTGTAATTTATTGTTTGATTTAACAATTTTATTAAATTTGACAAATAAAAAATTGCATTATTCGGAAAAACGCTATTTCCAACTGGCGTCCTCTTAACCCATAAGTACCAAAAATTCTAGTAATAACTATACACAAAATGTAGTAAAAATCAAATAACAATTTATTCAACGTAAATCAATAAGAATCAACCCGACAAAACTCAAATGAATCTATTTTCTATCTTAACTCTATTCCCCTTTGGAATTTGACAAAAAAGATTCAGAGACTTAACTTATGTACAATAATTCTTATGAATTAAAGGTCCTAATCATCACCTCAATATTAGGAACCTTTTTCCTCCACTCTCAAGACTTTCTCTAATCTTCGATCCACAAATCAAATAACTTCAAAATCGCCTTGGAACTACTTTATCCTATCGGACACCTCTCTCTTGTTTGCTGCTACGAAGCTCACCACACTCGTTGCTAACAGAAGCTCACCTCGGTCATCTTCACTTGAGGTTTGGTCTTTATACTGTGAGGTGACGTCACAATTCTGAGTGAGATCATTCCCCTCATTTACATACTTATTGCTAACAATAAACTTTTCCTGTTTGCCTGGCAGCCTATTTTCTGACAATACTCGCTAACCTTTTACATTATTCTTTTTGACAATTTTCGGGATGTTTTATTCTTTAAGGTTTAGTGAATTTAAGTTGTGCTTGTGGGGTCTTCTCCCCCCCTTTTCTTGGTGCGGGCTTACTTTTTTCCACTCGGGAGCACAAGTGTGCGTTAGTTTTATCTATGGTGCTTTTCTCTTGTCGATGAGTTGGTTTCTCTTCTATTTTTAAGTTTCTAAGGTGAATGGTGAGGAAACCTTCTGAATATTTTTCACTGGTGGAAAAGTTCAAATGTTACTCTAATTCTCAAAACAGAAAAATTCATTGGAAAGGACATCACTGCTGATGCACTATTTATTTCTCTTTCCACTTTTTGCCAGGAATTCTCTCATTGCTTGAAATAAACTTAAAATTAAGATGCTAAAATTGTTTTTATTTAATTTTTTAGTTTATTTTGATATTTATTATTATTATATTATTATTTGATAAATGAAACAGAAATGTAGTAATGTGATGATAAAATCTTGTCCTTTGACAGTCAACATGTTTAAAAAGTGTGCTTTACAGTAAATATTTGACGGATTGTAATGGTAAAGTATTCAACAGGATGCTGAGATTCTGGTTTGTTCATCCAGTTACTGTTTAGAAGACATTACATGAAAAGTTATATTAGATAACCATCCCAAGTTATAATGATGAAATTATAGAGCTGGACTACTGTGCTGGAACGTAACTAATTAATTATACGGATATCATGAAATTAACTGTCCACAAAAAACCTTTATCAGTGTTGTGTTTGTTACAATATCCACTAATGTTTTCAACCTCCATCGAGGTCTTCTTCAGGTGCTGACTAAGCGTTGTCTCCCCCTTGAATGTTAGAACGATGTCGTCCAACTTGTAAATATTGTGCATATCATGTTTTACCCTCCACTTATCCCCATTCGAATTCCTTGAATAAGTATCTCCACACCTGCGCGATCATCTCTTCGTCTTTAAAGTTGATACAGGTGCCCCCAACATTGGCTTTATAGATCTCCCAGGCCTCCAGGTGATGGATGTGATCAATTTAAAATGCCTGTCTGAATAATTTGGTGTTCAAGAAGTTTGCCCGAATTTCAGGGTCGCTAACGTATGCTGTCAAGGCGGTGGTGTGCCTGTTATTTTTAATTAATGTCCGATTGATGCTCGCGTAACCGTTTTTGTGTTGAGTGCATGGTAGAACCGATATAAACTAAGTTTCTTTGGAAGCTATCATTCCTGATAGGAATGGAGTATACCTCTGGGGCTCTGTTGAGATCTATCACATCTTTAGCATGGTACCAGTCCTCCTATACATGATCTTTGTGTGATTATGACTAGCAACTAGCAATCTCCCTGTATAGGTGGTCCAAATGTTGGTTGAACCAGACGACTGCACACCTATCGTTCTTAACAGGCCGCTGTCCAGCGTAGTCAGGAACGATAGGCGTGCAATCATCCAGTTCAACCAACATTTGGATTCCCTATACAAGGAGATTGCTAGCCATAATCACACAAACATCACATACAGGAGGACCGGCACCATTTACGACCTGCTGCGCAAAGCTAAAGACACAATAGATCTCAACAGAGCCCCAGAGGTATACTCCATTCCCATCAGGGACGATAGATTTCAAAGAAACTTAGTTTATATCGGTTCTACCACGCGCTCAACACAAAAATGGTTACGCAAGCATCAATCGGACATTAATTAAAAATAACAGGCACACCACCGCCTTGACAGCATACGTTAGCGACCCTGAAATTCGGGAGAACTTCCTGAACACCAAATTATTCAGACAGGCATTTCAAATTGATCACATCCATCACCTGGAGGCCTGGGAGATCTATAAAGACAGTGTTGGGGGCACCTGTACACTTTAAAGACGGAGAGACGATCGCGCAGGCGTGGAGATACCTATTTGAGGAATTCGAATGGGGACAAGTGGAGGGTAAAACATGATATGTGCAATATTTACAACTCAGACAACATCGTTCTAACGGTCAAAGGGAGACAACGCTTAGTGTCAGCCACCGGGGAGGTCGGGAAGTCCTCTCCTTCAGGCCACAGGTCGGTGACCTACTTTTCTTGTCAGGGATGGTAGTAATGTTTGGTTACTCGTTACGCGAGTGGAGGAGAGTCAGAGGGGTCGACGATAAGGCGTGAGCATAGTCGAGTAACGACACCATTTAAAAATAAACAACGGTTTATTTAATGCACTAACTAAATAAAATTTTACAAAACTCCGCGGATGAGAGAGGGAGTTTACAATAATATTTCATACCTCTGTGATAGTATCGGATGGATACTTCGGCTTTAATTTCTGAAAGGTGGTGCGAGTTGGGGCACAAGGTCTTCTAATTAATGGCGTACAGTAGGTCAACGGGAAGTGAAGGTCCGTCTTGGTCGTTCGATGGTTGACTCTCCCGAGAGGGGAAGGAGGATGGCTTTTATACATTTTGGTGGGAAAATTCATTAGGTGACCAATTGTTTTCGCAGGTGTGGGGTTAAAGTTGGTGTTAGAATGACAACAATATGACGAATTTTGTCGATACTTGTAAACTATTCATGGATTGATCGTGAGAATGTTTATAGTTAAATAGAAAGAGTTATAATTTTCTCATGCACCTCAAATTTCGTTTCTGCAGGTGCAACTTCTAGTTAAAGGAATTTATTAAAAATTTAAAGGATTAAATACTTTTATTACCTTATATAAATCTCGAATTTCACACTTATTAAGCACCTGAAGAAGACCTTGGTGGAGGTTGAAAACGTTAGTGGATATTGTAACAAACACAACACTGATAAAGGTTTTTTGTGGACAGTTATTACTCAACACAGTGTTACAGTTAGAAGATATTTTGTATCATGAAATTTTGATGAAAAGCAAGTAGTTGTATGAATTTTTGTCCTAGGCTTCCTTGTAATGAATTGATTACTTGCCATGGGCTGTCAAGAGCTTTTATGGAGTTCAGTGGATAAAGCAGACCCCTTTTGTTTCTTCATGGCCTCTTTAGCTATTTTTCTTTTGAACAAATGAAAAACATAAAATGTCTCTTTATTAATTAATGAAATGCAGTCTTAAGGATTTTATTTTCTATTTGTAAAAATAAAATTAATTTTATAGGGATAGGAACCACTAAGCCACTAAGTTTTTCCCAGACCCAGGAAAAAATTTCCAGTTTCCCTACCATTTCAATGGCCCCTGTGTATATCTCATAAATTAAATAGTCTGGAAGTAAAGATTGGAAGCAGTTAACATAATTGGCAATGCATCTGTACTATAAGTAGAAGTTGCAAGTTCAAGTCATGCTTCAGATTGATCTTTTCTTCCAGAATAGTCTAAAATAATTAATTACGAAAGTTAGCAACATAATTGCTACCTTTAGTCCATATTTTAGACCAATGACATGTACAGTACCAGTACTTATCCACATGAAATTACAATAAAAACTTTTAGTAACTATATATGTTTATCTATAACTTTCTTCTAATAAAGCAGCCTATAACTTAATGAATATATATTTAGATATAGTTGTCAAGATAAAGTTATTTTTTTAATATATTTTTTATTTGTATTTTACTTATTATTTATATTTAGCTAGGTGATTTGACAAAACCAGATTTTAAATATTCTGCTGATGTAAATAAACCAATTACATCAATTGCTTCTCATGAGGATAATATTGTTGGAGGACTAGATAATGGAGATTTATTTATAATTTCTTTAAATCAGTAAGTTGAATATTTTATTATGATAATTTTAAATTATAAATTATTACTAAGGTTGTTTTGTTTCATGCAACTTCAAGGCCACAATTCTCAATTTTTTCTAGTCTAAATAAAGGATAATTAACGTCATTAAATATTTATAAATAAACAAACTTCAAAAAGTTTTTAAGATAATATTAAACTAAAAAATAACTTTAATCATTGATGCAAAGCTTCTGATTAACTGTTGGCCTAAAAAAATTCATTGGATTTTCAATTCACAAATAATAAGACAGACAAAATAATTGAAATGATAGATATTAATTAATAAAATCATCTAACATTAAATTAATGATAATTTATTGATATCAGTTGTATTCATGATATGAATAAAAGAAAATTAGCAATAATGAGAAACAACTCCAACGTTTTTAAAAATGTAATAATACAGGATTTTCCATTAAGGGCATTTGAACTTCAAATTTAAATAAAACAAGTTGTGTATGAGATGATATTAATTTTATTTTTTACTTAAAAAAGTATTCAATTACATTATATATATGGAATATAATATCGGCCAAATGGCCGCTGCAGCTTTTCTGGGCAGCACGTATCCAAGAGGTCCAATTTTCGATGACTTGACTGCATAAATCGGGCAGAATGTCATTGATGGAATTGGTTATGTTGACTTTTAAGGCATCAATCGACTGCAGTTTATTCGCATAGACCCATGATTTAACATAGTTCCACAAGAAAAAGTCTAATGGCATTAAATCACATGATCACATGATGGTGGCCAGTTGATGTTGCCGAAACACAAGATAACCATGCCGTTGAATTTGTCATGCTGTGGTGTATCCCACCATGTATATATGTTTTATTCGCTTATATTCTGTTGTCTGTAATTTCTTCATCTACGTAAATAACCCACACTATTTTTCCTTGTTTGACTCTTCTGACCTATATGCGCTTTCTGGCTTGTTTTACAGATAAGGGAAATTTCCTTATAACATGATCTTTCTGTATTATTTTTCCTAACCTAGATTATATTAGTTTTTATTTTAAGTGAAGTTAGTTATAATTAATATTATAATACGATTTTAACGGATTGTGTACTGGCTGGCTTCGGGACCCGCATGTGTAACCAAATATATGAGCCTTGTGAACGAGAGAAAAAGAGGAACGGTTTAGACTTATGTACTTAAAAACGGTTAACGTGTAATATTATGGATGGTTTCGAGCTCATGTATTTTGAATAATTTGTAGATTAACTGTAAATAAATAATTTCCTTTATCGTTAATTGAAAATTGTGTTAATATGTGGTGTATTATTTGAATAATATGGTTTTCTTAACCCATCACACCACAATGCAGAAGATCCATTGTTGCATGCACTATGTAGCAGGTAGCACCGTCTTGTTGAACCACATGTCATTGAGATCCATATCTTCCAATTTAGGCCACAAAAAATTGGTTATCATCGATCTGTACCTCTCACCAGTAACAGTTATGGCAGTTCCAGCTTTATTTTGGGCTAATAACCCTACCAGATCAAAATCCACACCAAACAGCGACTTTTTCTGGATGCATTTGCAACTGATGGGCCTCATGTTGATTGTTATCTCCCCAAATGCGACAATTTTGTTTGTTGACATAGCCATTCATCCAAAAATGGGCCTTGTCGCTGAAGATGATTTTCTATCTGAAATTGGGTTCCACTTTGAACTGCTCATGAGTCGTCAGCAAATGTTCGATGTGGCTTATGGTTGTTTACCTTCAGTTCCTGGACCAATTGAATTTTGTACAGTTGTAGGCCCAAGTCCCAATGCAAAGTTCTTCAAGTTGATATCTGCAAAAGGCCAAATTCTTGGACGTGTCAAGGAATTGACTACCGCAGGTTATCCTGCACACTCTTGTTCACTTCAGCAATGTTTTCTTCAGACCTCACGTTTCAACAACATACAGATGTTGTTTTGATTGTTTACTGAACCAGTTGATTCAAATTTGTCCACCAAACGATGAATAGTTGACTCAACAGGATGATTGTGTACACAGTAAAAATCGCGTAGTGTGTGCAATGTAGCACGAACTAAGCACTCATTTTGATAGTAAAGTTTAATGATTTGCACATGTTGCTCAACACTGTAATTATCCATGATGATTTGCCCAACATTAATTACTATAACCTCCAAATTTGACAGCTGTAGCTTCACTAACATGGCCGCCATACATTATCAAAGTTTGAGTGCCTCTAGAAGAAAACCCTTTATAACAAAAAGTCTGCTTTATTGGAGTTCATTTTAATGACAGTGAATGCCAATAAAGCAAATTTTTTTGCTATATTGAAATTTAACAATGTTTGATACTAAATAGACATAATTTATGAAAAACAAAAAACTTGTATATAAGATAGACAACAAACATGGACAAAGTGAAATGATAAATGGGTCCAGTTCAAAATCGGGACAGCTCAAAATCCCTACGCCAGTGGTTCCCAAACTATTATAACTCATAGCTCCCTTAAATGCTGACTGCTTAAATGTCTAAACCCCAGGTTCTTTCTTTCTAAGAGGAATTGATACATTGATATTATAATTAAATGATATAAACAAATAAAGGAAATTACTGTAATAGTCCTAAGTAAGAATTAATACTATATATATATATATATATATATATGTTATATAGTATATGTGTATAATGAATGTCACTTTTCCCTTTATAAATTAGGACCAAACATGTTCATCCCAATTTATAAAGGGAAAGCTGACATTTATGATTGCATAAACTACAGGGATATTAGTGATGAGTCATTCTATTTGGGAGAGAATTATTGAAAAGGGAATTTGTGAGGTCACAACAATCAATGAGGAGCAGTTCAGTTTTATTTCAGGTAAGAGGACAATAGAATCTATCTTTGCCCTGAGACAACTAATGGAAAAATATAATATGAAGAAAGGACAATTCTCTATGTCAATAAAACAATATATAAAACCTTCAACAGGATGTCAAGGGTGTCTCAGAAGAAAACTGATCCACATATTTCTCAACTTCAAGTGAAAGTAATTAAGGATATGCATGGTAATTGTAAAACTAATGAGCAAATAGTCTTGTAAAGTGGCTTTAATACAGCTGGAAGAACAAGCCAACTATACAATTTGGTTCATTAGAAACACAGTATGTCATTGGTGTGATTATCCAGCTGTATTAAAGCTGTTTTACCAGGCAATGTGCCTAATATTAGATGTGCAGCAGGAAGCAAGGTGGCCTTTTCTATTGTTATTGGGATACATCAGAACTCTGTCCTCAGTCCATTGCCCTTTTCTGTTGTGATGGATTTACTAACAGAATTGCACTATGGTCTATTAAGTACAGTGATGATATTGTTTTATGTGCTGAAACAAGAGAGGAAGCTGATGAGAAGTCGGAAGATTGGAGGATAGCACTAGAAGATAAAGTTTTGAGATTGAGTGCAACTAGAATCAAATTTATGATATGGGAAATGTTGATGAACATGTTAAGATGAGATGTCAGAAGTATTCAAGTATTTGGGTTCTTTCATAGATCCAGGAACAGATAGCAAGAGGGAAGTCAGTCATGAAATACAAGTAGGTTGGCAAGGCTGGAGAAGAGTATCAGGTATTTTACATGATATAAACCGTTCCTTTCAGTTTTAGTGGAAATTTTTCTAAGTTTTATTAAGGCCTGTCTTGATGTATTGAATGGAAACATTGTCTTTCACTAAGAAAAATGCAAATAGCCAGGATGCTGTTGAGATGAAAATGCTGAGATGGGCATGTGGAGTGAGAGGACAGGATTAAAAATAGCATGGTTAGAGGGACTTTGGGAGTTGAGAAAATCTGTTAAGAAAATGAGTGTCAAGACTGTGGAATTTTGGGCTTATGGAAAGAAGTCCTTTGGATTATGTCAAAAAACATATGATGGGGATGGATCTTCCCTGGAGGAGGAGGAGAAATAGATTGAGAAGATAATGGTTTGACAGTATGTTTGAGAATATGGTGGCTCTTGGAATTGATTTGAACTTGGCAGAGGACAGAGTGAAATGGAAGAAAGTGATCTGCAGCAGTGACCCCACCAGTGGGACTAATAAGCTAAAGTATATATGTATAATATTTTATATTTATTTATATATACTTTATAAAATATAATAAAGTATATATAAATAAATATGACATATTTTATAATGTATATATACTTGTATACTATATAAAATGTATATGGTACAATTATTTTCATATGCCACATGTTAGCTTTGTCCAAGGTCACTAATCAAGTAATGAAGCTCTTACTATATTGAACAAACCTTTATTTGTTACAAGGTGTCTTTTTTGATGACATGAACAATATGGCTCAACCATTGACATGGCTCAACCATTAACAGATCTTTTTCATTTCACACTCTTTTCACCACACCCTATAGTGAACACTGCACTCAAGTTCTCACACATGGATTGACTATAAACTTTAATTTGTGTAAGATTAACCCTAAAATAGAAGTGAAAGTGTCTGTTAGAAATTGTTTCTATGTCTTCTTTTCTATTAAAAAAGGAACAAACAACTTAATTTTGATAAAAAATAAAATTTAATTTAAAAAAAAAAGGAAAAAGTAGTTCTTACAAAATACTAATAGTGAAGATACAAAAAATTTCTATATAAACATAATTTATTTTTTGTTCTTTCATATAAGAGACACAAAAAAAGCATAATGAATTGTCTTAACATGTTTTTTCCCACAAAGAAATGAATGTGCAGGATGACAGTTTTACCCCACCAGTCAGGATAATTCTGCTATATGTGGCATAATGCTATTAAGTTTCAAAGTGACCTTTGAACTTGTGTTGGAGATAGTGACAAAAAAAGCACACACAACCACCTTTTGATGAACAACAATGATTTTAATAAAACAAACAGTCACTACTAGACCCCAAGTTATCAGCCATAGACTATTATAATTAATTAAAACAAAAATACCCAAAGATCAAATTACACTAAATTACAATAGTGAGACTAATAATAACTGCATTATAATTATTTCTAAAACTCCTAAACTAATATACAAACTATGTACCTTGAAGCCTGTTATTGGTGTGCAATTAACTTCAAAAAATGAAAAAATTAAAATTTCACAAACGTTTTTGAACCTTCAACGATTCTTCTTCAGGCAGCAACGAATTTCTGTTGGATAAAGTGAAGTTATAATATACAAACAATATCATGCCAGTAAATGGCAGAACACTTAAGTCTCAGCTTTGTAGATCCTCGAGCTTTAGCTGAAGCTCCATTTGTCCCCTTGCACAAATCTTTCTCTTGGCCCGGTGCCACTCTCACTCAAGCTCAGGGACATCTTTCACGTTTTGCCTACTTTGGTCCTCCCAACTTCTAGCTTCCATTCTCATCCAAGACTTGACCCAAAGTGAGCTCTCTATTTGAACTCCTCATGTATTTTCTTCCTGTTGTCCAGACCAGTTCCCCTCAGCAGGGGTCCTTACTTCAACACCAAACAATAGAGCTGGTCTGGACATGAATACAAACAACAGTGTAATGCCTGACAAAGGGTGGAAAGAGCATATGAAAAATTGGGGTGGGCAGCGAAGACAAAAAAAATGGCAGACAACCATAATCTACAGTACAGACTTACTTAATGGTTACAGTAAATTTTAGAAAAGTAATGCAAGTTTTTCAATACTTATTTAGATCCCAGTCAAAATAGTCAAATGTTGCTTATTGCAATTATCATTACATGAAATGACTACTGGCAAGGAAGAAATATCAATAACAGGTCACATTAAAGTTAAATTTTTCAGTCAAACTGCTGCAGATGTAAGGTTGCCAAATACATGGGAATAAAATCCTGGACAAAATGAGTTCTTCCTAAAAAGTACCAGGGCTTTCTAGTGAAAACAGGGCCAATTCTGTGACATGCAATAGATGTGTATTAAAAACTCTGCCAGTGACAGAAATATATTTAAAATGTGGAAAAATAGAAAGATACTTTATTCTAAAAATTATTCCTACATTGACAGAGGAAAGTTGTTAGGATTGACACACTGATCAAATTTTTTAAAGGCACATAGGTAGTAAAATTATGATGAAATTGAACCTCAACAACTACTGTGACCAATTGCTTTTTTCAATCTTGACAGTTAAAATGGGAAAGTGGTTGAACATGTTAATGTTCAATGTCAATTTTGCCACCCACATGCATCTGCCTTAAGAGTCTTTTGTCAGTGAAATAGCATTTAGATAGGGAATATTCCATACTCACAACCTGACAGTAATCCTTTATGCCACTTCATTTTTTTTGTTACATTGCTAACATTTCCTTCTTCCATGACCTCTAACAGAAAACTTTATTTAGGATTATCCATGGCAAAGATTTAATATAAGAAAACAAAGAGTAAGAAAAGAATGAAAAGTTGTACTCTTGTCACTAGATGGCAGCAAGTATGGTAGCCAGAAAAAATCCAGAATAATAGATCATCCTGATAAAAATTTTCTGGATGTGGAAAAAACGAAAAAACTGGGACATCTGGCAAACTCTAATAGATGACATTTGGGAAGAATTCTTAATGCTTACATAGAAATCGTAATGAATTCATGGGGTAATACACTCATAAGGTGGCATTATCTTGATTATTTTTGGCACCATGTCCCCAACATATCACAAAGAACTTTTAGAACTTTTAGATTTGAGAACAGAACAGAAGTCTGTTATGAAAGTAGGTCAACTTATTCATTAATAATGTAGTGCTCCGCAGCTTACTGTTATTCTTATTATTGTATATAAATATGATTTGCATAGTTATTACCATTGTACTAGGTTTAAGTTTTACTTATTTCAATTGTGTCGGTTTTTTTTTTTTGTTCTTCTTTGTGTTTGTAAGACACGTGTACCCCTTAATCTCTACCCTGTCCCTTTGTTGAACCTGGACCTTTGCGATTGGCCAACGAAGAGGTCAGGTGGGTTTGGAAACCCAGGGGTATATATAGCAGAGACATATGTGACGCCAGGAGTTTGGTTCTTGTTCCTGTCGTCTGTGGTAGATCGTCGACGGTAAAAAAGTCATACAACGCCATTGAGAGAAGGAGAGACTTACCAAGTAGAAGGGGACAAAATCCAAGTGCATCCGTGTTGTGCGAAAAGGGGACCGAGTGAACTTTACAAGATACGAAGCTATATTACCCGATACATCGACGGGGACATATATTTCCCGAATAGGAAGAGACCTTGGTCCAACACCTGATGGTTTTTCAAGTACCGGATTCTCCTAGTGAGTAGTCTGATAAAAAGGATTCGTTCTTCGCGTGTTAATGTAACAGGTCCGGCCTGTGTACGCTAAAATAATTGAAAAGGGAGGAGGGAGAGTGAAGGGGTTAGGTGTTTTGTATTCGGACACGTGGTATTGTAACTTAGGTTTTGTTGAGAGTTTGTACGAGCTCTCAGTTGTAAACTCGAAACCCGTGTTGAATAAAGCAATATTTTTTGTAAGCCGGCTACATACGTTTTTTTTGTCTCAGCTTGATAGACTTCGGTCAAGCTTTGACTAAACAATAAACATATAAGGGTGGATCAAATATAAACTATAATTTTCTTTTAGAAATTTATTGATTAATAATATACACAAGTGAAAACTTTAGTTCTTCTCTACATATCCTCCTGCAAGCTCTACACACTTTTGCCAACGATTTTAAAGCTTCAATATCCCTCTCTCATAAAAAGATTGAGGGCAAGTTATGAGCCAATTGCGCACATGCTCCTCGACTTCTTCATTGCTTGCAAATCGTTTTCCTCCAAGTGATTCCTTCAAGGTGCGAACAAAAAATAGTCACAGGGGAACAAGTCTGGACTGTAAGAAGGGTGTTTGAGAGTTTCCCAGCCCATTTTGACCTGACCTGTTTTTGATTTCTGGTCAACAACCTTGAAACCAATTGGGCACTAATTTTTCTGAAGCCAAGATGATCAGTGATAATGGATTGAACACTCCCATAGCAGATACCCTCTTCTGATGAGGTTTCTTCAACAGTTAACCGGCAATCACATTCAATAAGCTCTTGAATGGCATGGATGTTGTCATCTGTAAGGGTTGTCATGAGCTTCATTTTTTGACACATTCTCGCCCACCCTTAAATTCTCTGGCCCATGTATATAGACAATTCTGAGATGGTGTACTGTCCCCAAACTGTGCTTTCAATCAACTAAAAATTTCTAAGGTTTAGCCCCCTCATTAGTTAAAAATTTTATGATGATGCGTTGTGCAACAGAAGAATGGCTTGGTCATGGCTGCACTGACGACAGAACCGAGTGCACTCATTAACCAAGCCAGTTCCCCCACTCCTCACAAATCAAACTTCAACTGCATTCTACATCATCATTTCTCAAAGTGGGCAATAATGCCCCCTTGTGGGCAATGAGTAAATCTAGGGAGTCGTTGGAGGCAGGATAATGAACAGTGACCAAAGGCAAAATTGGGGTCACTGAAAGCTGTTCCCTTTCCTCTGTTAAACTGATAAGGGAAAACATTGCATTTAATGATTTCTAGATGTTGAGAACAATGTATGGTAAGGGCACAAAGTGTAAGATTCATAGAAAAGTTTTCCTAAGAATATTTCCAATCCTTTCTCACACAAGTGAAAATGGGTTAGGAGGCATTGGGTATAACTTTATGGAACAAAGGGGGCGGTGGATTGAAAAAGTTTGGGAATCACTGCTCTACATCATCTAGCTAGAAACTGCATGGTAAGCAGAATAGCAAAATTACTGTTTATATTTGATCCACCCTTTTAGTTTCATAAGAAGTAACGATAAAAGAAATTGTTAAATCTACATATTTCGATTTTTTGGATAAGGATTCGATTTTTTTTCGATTTTTTTGATAACATCTTGCCAACATTAGCACACAAAAATGAACACTTTGACAGCATATTGATGAGCAGCCTAATGGTTTCAACTGCATGTTTGTAATTGTAGCAGCTTACCTACTGACGATATTACCAGATTTGTGATGCATAACAAACAGTACTTACTAAAGGTGGCAATTTTACTCAGGTTGAATCGTACTTTCCCCTATAAACAAAATATTTCACCATTGAAAATGAATAGAGTATTTAGGGACCAATGTAAAACAATGTATAAATGATAAAGACAAATAAATTTTAAACATATAAACAGTACTATACTGTTGTAATTATATCATACATTATTAATTATATATTGTATTTTAAATTTTTATTTATAATTTTGAAAAAATAAAATTATTTCATTAAAAAAAGTATTATAATAATAATTATTATTACTGCTACTGTTACTACTATTATAAAAGTATTAAAGTTTTCATTTTTATTTTTATTTTTTATAGTTTTAACCCAACTATTTTTTCTGCTCATCAGAGTAGCATCACTAAATGTATTTTTTATAAAGAAGATAGAATCATAACTGTCAGCAAAGATTGTGTAAGAAAAATTGTTGTTTTTTTTTCAAAAAAATATACTTTTATATTAAATTTTATTAAAGATATACATTTATAATGTTATAAATTGAATTATATATATATGTATATATATTTTTTTATTGTATTATAAATAATCTATATAAAATAAATTTCAGAATGTAATGACATTCATCAGCTTGGAATTTAAAATTTGATTGTGAATATGTTGTTTATATCTGATAAATTTCATAATATAAGGTGGATCAATAAATAACCAGCCAAAAGCAACAGTTGGTTGGTTTCTCAGCTGGTTATTTATTGATCCATTCTTACAATTTTGCATAACTTAATATAGTAGAACCCTGATTATCCAAAGTAATGTGGACTGATGCTACTTTGGATAACCAAAAACTTAGATAAAATAGATGGCCTTGGGCATTTCAGATTAAGAGTTATATCATTAAATATTTTATATTCATATCACTTTTAAGTCTCTTTTTTACACCTTAGTGAATTTAATCATATATAAGAACAACATTTTTTACATCATTTGCTATACAGCTATTAAGTACAATAGTTTTAAGAATAAAAATATGTATTATTGTAATTGCATTTTAATTTGAATGATTTATCTTACATTGAAATTAAATGATAGAAGTTAACAGGAAGAAATCATTTTATAATAAGTGTTATCATTTTTAACTTTCTTTCATGAATTATTGTGTAGTATATTCACTTACAGGTTTGGCTTGGTTCATCAGGGTTTTACTACATATGGGTGAAGGGAGCACCTTTCAACTGTTTGATATGAAAGCTTCTATATATAGAAGCTTTCATATATATATATATATAACATTTTTTGCAGATGTCTTTCATTTTATATTTTTGTATACATGTACATGTAAAATATTTGATTTTGGTATTGTCTGGTATCTTTTGTACTAGCATGAATTTGTTTCAAGTGATAGTAGGTCATTCAAAAATACCCCATGATGACATACAACTGAACACATAATGAAATTTAAAAAGAGATGTAGAAGTATTTTTAATAAATTTTAATACAATTTAAATGACATATATGGCATAACAATAACTTTCAGAAATTATATTTTTGTGTGATTGTCTTTTTCTGTTTCTTTATGATTAAAAAAGGGTTAATTTGCAAGTAATATCTCTTATTTCATATTAGAAATACTTTTTATAATGAGTAAAGTTTAGTCTTTTAATCCATTTTCTTCACAAACTGAACTTGGACATCATCAAATCACCTATAAGTAGTGTTTTGTAATCCAGACAATGGATTAAAGAAAAGAAACAAACAGAGTTAATCTATCTAACTATTAAAAGGTATCTTTGTTAAAAGATTTTCTCTTTTTTCTAATAGTAACAGATTGTGGCGCCCGTCGTCAACGGGCTGATTCGGATGATAGAGGGTGCAAAGAAAGGGAAAAAGCGAACTTTGAACTGGTCACCCACTTTCCGACCAACAGCTACTGGGAACAGATGTTAGGACAAGCGGTCAGTGCAAACAACTGTAACCTTCAATCGATGTCGAGCTGTATACACATTGTATTGTACTGTACATTACTGTATATATTCGTAAATAAAGGAAGTGATATTTAAAAAAAAAATTTTTTTTAATATTCCTTTCTTTATTTACGAATATATACAGTAGCTGTTGGTCAGAAAGTGGGTGACCAGTTCAAAGTTCGCTTTTTCCTTTTCTTTGTGCCCTCTATCGTTCAAATCGGCCCGTTGCCAATGGGCGCCACAAGATGTTACAGATAAATTTTCAAACTTTTAAGAATTTCAAGATATTCATATTTTTTCATTCATATTTTTTCTAATTCAGTAAATTTTGAAAAATACATTCAAATATATTTATTTCTAAGAAAACAGTTACATTTAAGTTGCTAAAAACTTCTATAAGTTGATAATATCTTAGATATAAAATTTAAACTTGCATAATTATTGACAAATACTATGTGTGAAATTTGGATAAATTTTATAAATTAAATGAAGAAAGCTGATATAAAAAATCATAAATGATTTTTTTATATGATTAATGTAAATATTAAGATGATAAATTTATGAGTTTGATTAATGTTTTTTGAATTATATGACATTATGTACTTTTTTAAATGAAAAATGGGTCTAAAATTTTATTATTAGTAAAAAAAAAAGTATATACTCAAATTACAGTTCAATATAGTAATTATAACAAACTATAAAAATCAGACTGCTATTGTATTTATTATATGGAACCACAGTTACAGTTGCCAAATAGACAGAGTCAATTTCCCAAAGTAGCTCTAAAATTTCCTCTAATTAAGGGATTTTGTTAAAAATTTCACTACAATAGTGTTAATATAATATAATAGATGAAATTTCTATGCTTATAGCTTAAATATCAAACAGTCAGATTCTTTATCAGGCTTAATTACTTAGTAATTTGGCTAGAGGTAGACAGTTAAATTGGCATCTCGCATTAAATCAAATAATTAGACATTTAATAAATGTAAAATACAGAGCATTTATAAAGGATAAAACCTTTATTGTTGCCTTTTCCTTCCTGTCATTGCACACCATCAGTAGTCCATCGAAAATTACAAAAAATTACGAAGACAACCTTCTTTATAGGCTACTACCTCCACAACAAACATGCAAAAATGGTAAAACTCTGGCGTTTCACCACTATCACAATAATAATGTAAATAAAATAACAGATTAATTTGTTATTTTATTTACAATATTATTATAATTATAAAATTATAATAATAAATTTAAAAAATTAAAAATAAAATTATAATCTATATTCTGGAAGGAAAGATTGACCCAGAGCAAGATTTGATCTGCTTACCATGCAGATGCATTGCTAGTTACACTACAGTACTTGGATGTCTGTTCAATCTTTGCTTCCAGACCAATTAATTTAGATATTTTGCTCTAAAAAGAACATTATTGAAATGTTCTTTTTAGAGAAAATAAGTTGTTATTTTCACTGAATGATTTGTTTTATTTCATAATTTTAAAACACTTAAGATATCTACTGTATTAATTATATAAACTAGTTGAAAGAAAAAACTTAAAACTTTTTTTTACTCCTTCCACTGTTTGGGCACTAAGAGAGTATTCTTTTTCTTACCAATTTTGGGTGTAATCAGGCCTACAATACATCTGGGTAATGAGCAGAGCTTTGGAATAGGGATCATGATCTTGACACTGGTTCTGGCTTTGCTCCAGCTCTGGCTCCGGCCAAACATTTAATTTTTAAGTACAATTGCTCGTGATAGGAGTACATTATTTAAATTATTTTGTTTTGTTAATTTATATATAATCTGTTCTATTACTTTATATAAATTTGTTATAAATGATAGAAACAGTTCTTTTGATTGCTTACAACAATATCTAATTTTAGCATTATTCTCAGATATATCAAACTATAATTAAAGAAGAAGAAATTATAGAAAAGGGAATGAGATATAAATAAGCAATTAACTAATAACTATAGTACTATTCACCACTTATTTACATCACTTCTACACCTGATTGAAAAGTGGCTTAGTCTGTTTTTACAATTGCCAGCTTATATCAGAAAAGTTAACAGTACTTAACATATAACCTAAATTAATGTTGCAACATTTTAATTATTATTTAAAAGCTACTAAAATATTGTTCATATTATGGTATTATTAATTATAGTTGATATAAATTAATTTTGTTTAATTCTGATAAAATAAACGAAATATTATGAATATATCCTTAGTAGTATGTCAGAAATAAAGTTGTTAGAACGTTTTTGGTTAGATTTACAAAATTTTTTAAATATTTACAAAGCAAAAAGCTAAAAACTTTCTTATAAAATCTGAAGAAATTAATATCTAAGCAAAAAAAAAGAAAACAGAACTTGAGCCAAGAATTTTTTAAAGTAATATGTAGTGATTTGTCAGTAAATTTATGTATATAGTTTTAATAATTTGTACTCTTTTGTTGTGTATTGGGTTTTAGTGTAAAAAAAAAAATTATTCACTGATGTGCATCACATTTTGTGAGGTGTCTGTAGCAGTTAGTGATTGGTTTGTGTTGTACACATGGGTTTTACCACGTGGTCAGTGTGGCGGGAGTATAAATGTAAGGGATACCACATGCAGGGCTCATTCTTTTTCTCTTCTCTGAGAATTGCTGCATTTGAAGAAGACGCGATAGGAAGAATACAAAGGGAAGAAAACCCCCATTTGTATTAGGGAGTGTAGGTGAGAATAAGTGATCAAGTAAAGAAGTGAATTCAATTATGAGGACAGTGTTAAGTATAACTGTGGTGCTAACTACAGAGAGTATTAAGGATTATAATTGATGGTCAAAATAAATTTGCCAGTTGACACAAAAGTAAAAGAAAGGAAGAAATTGAGGGATATGACCCGAAGACTCGACAAGGTTAAGTGGAATGGGAGTGGCGTACCACGCGGTGAAGAGGAAGCTCTTATGAATCAGCTAACAGTCAGTCTTGTAGTTAATCAATTGTATTAGTCCTAATTAATTAATTTCTGGGCACATTGTGAATTTAGTACCAATTCATAAGCAGAGGATGATTATTGTCGGTGAAGAAATTTTGTCAATTTTATGAAGGGGTGATGGAACACTCCATTAGTCTTATAGCAATTGTAATTGAACCTCAGAAATATATATGTTGTTGTCCACCAAATCTCATATAGTGTCTGATTTGTGTGTATGGCCCTTCATCGTCTTACCCCACATCAATGTGTACTCCAGTAATACCACAGAACTACAAATACATGGCTCTGGGCTCCAGCTCTAGTTCTAGCAAAAAAATGGAAGTTCTGACTGGCTCTGGCTTCAAAGCCCTGATGGTGGGGATGGGATTTGACATATTCTAACAATAATTCAGATAAAGATAAACAGAAAGTGTTTGTGTATATTATTTTTAATAAGTAGTACTAATAAATAAATTTTATTTAAATCTTTTTGATTAGAAGTCTGTTTTAGAATGATTTCCCCTTTTTAAATTTTTATTTTTATTAATGTCATATTTGTAGCTTCTATCATAAAATTTAAAAAATGCTATTTTTGAAGTAGTTAGAGTAGTAATTTATTGATTATATTTATTTTTATTTTACATAATTTATCTATTTATTATTACTTTTAGTGTCTTAAAATATGGTTATTAGAAGATGGTAATATTACTCAACAATTTACATTATTTGATTGTCATAAAGACTGGATTCTTTCATGTTCTTATAAAGATAATATTCTGGTAAGATTATTCATTTAAGATGTTTCTTGATTATACATAAACTGTTTATATTACTGTATTTACAATATATTTTGTAATTATATAAAATATTAAATTAAATATATTTTATTTTATTTATTATTATATGTTATTTATTTTTATTTTTTATTGTTAATATTTATTATTATTATTTATTTAGTATAAATTATTTTATATCTTTTTATGTAATATAATCTTCTTCTATTTTTATATATATAACCCATTCAACAGGAGTCCGTCCTTCCTTCCGTCCGTCCGTCCCGTAACCGTTTGATAACCGACACTAGAGGCGCCCCTATCGTGTGTCATATTTCAAACATTCAAATTAAATTAACAATTTTAATTATTATTTAAATTAACAATATAAATTATTATTATTCATTTGGCCAATAAATTATTATTTGGTCAATATAACAATATAAATAATTCAGTATATTTGTAATAGGAATTTATTATTGTCACGGAATGCCTGTAATGTTCACTAGGGGGCGAATAACGAAAAACCGGATAGATTTGAACCGCTACGATAAAACGATAAGTGAAATAGTTAAGCTAATATTTTAATATAATAATAGAAACCTTTCATGGCACGACCAAAGAAATACGCCACTGTGGGGGAACGTAAAGCTGCCACTGCTGCGAGACAAAGGGAGAGACGTGCGCAGGAAACATTACAGAGAATAGCACAATCAACACGTGGAGGCTTGCAGAATGAAACTCATGAGCTCAGATCTGCAATGTTGCACAGGCAGGCAGAAGCAAAACGACACAGAAGACAAAATGTCACAACAAGGCAAATTGATTCCAAATAATTATACTTTTTTTTCCCAACAATGTTGTGTATACAGAAGTTTTATGATGGGATAAATGATGGAATACAGAACACAGCTAAAGAATATCTTCAGTCTGTAATACAGAAATACTATTTGCTGTGTATTGATCTGTTAACATTACTTTTTAACATGAACATTTGTATATATTTATACTTGATTTTTTAATCATATTAATTCTATTTATTTGAACAATTTTGAGTAAAGAATAGATTCACTTTCTCATGTACAAATACTGTTGGCTGTTTGTGTATTGATATTTTAAGTTTAGTTTCTAAGATGAAGAATTGTATACATTTATATATATTAACTGCATCAAACTTTTAAACATTAAGCGCACACAACTTTCATATATTAAGTGCATTAAACATGCCTCAGGAATTTGTAATGCTGCTGGAACGCCCACTAGGGGGCGTCCCGGGCTACTAGTTATATATAAGGTGTAATATACTGATTATAAGTTTGTAAGGCCGGGTCCATATTAGTAAAAATTTGCATTGTGCATTGAATGTAGAATTTGGCACAAATAATTTTGTGCCAAATTCTACATTCAAAGTTTACGTGGAAATAAATTCAAACGAGTCTGAATTTATTTCCACAAACTTTTGTGTTATGTGCTTTGCATCAGCACTCAAGCTGTGCATGGTAACTTGTTTATTCTTGCTTTAGCACTTTTAATTGACAGATATTAAAAGACTGCTCTACTTTTTTTTGGTCAACTGTTTAATTTTGTAAATTATAGTGATGAAGTTAAACAAAGAGAATATGATACTCAAGATTAATTCAGACATAGTCTCACAATAGCAATAACACTAACTCCAGTCACTGGCATAAAAAATCAAGTATCTGTAAGTGAAAATCTCACATGCATCTACAGTAATACTTTGACTTACGCTACCCCGACTTATGCGAACCTGGAGTTACATGATTTTCAAATCTCGTCGATTTGTCTTTTGTTTGAGTGCCATGCAGCTCTTGATTACTCACTCCCCCCACACTATTCTTCGGCTTACATGTTTGGATGTGTCGCGCGGAATCGACACATAGCTACATTTTGTGTTATTTAATTCTGTGTTTGTTATATCTATGGAGACTCGAGAGACTCTATGTGGTGGTTTCTTGTAACCGTGAATGAATCAAAAGACGAGATAAGATTAACGAGAACATTTATTAGCTTACATACATCCGACTTGGATTTTAGACAAATTGCGAAATTATATCCTGACTTATGCGAATTCGACTTATGCGGTTATCGCTCGGTCCTACCTATCGCGTAAGTTCGGGGTATCACTGTACATTACAATACTGGTTAGGCACAAATCCCTTTGATGTCTTTCCAAAAACCAACAGCAAACAGATTGTGTGCATTTCTGAGCAGCATGTATGTCCATACTTATACAAATCTGTTCACATGTGCAGATTTTCACCAAATATAACACAACACAATTTTTACTAATGTGGACCCAACTTAATATGGTAATTATCTTTAATTGAGAAAGGTAAGATTAGGATTTGATTTTATACAGTAATTTGGTATAACCATTATATGTAATAACAGTTATCAAAAATTAGCAGTACTTTACCTTAATGAATATAACCTGCAGAAAATTGCTAGAATGAAAAATAAGACCTTTACATAACTGCATCACTACATATTCCATGCCTATGGAGCAATGGCTGTTCTATGGGCACATGTTTGTAATTGCAATTTAAAATTTACACATAAAATGTGGCATATCTATGGAAAATAACACATGTGGCAAGCACTAAAATTGCACCCTTGTCCAAACATCTGACATCCATCTTTCAGAAAACTTTACCATAAAATAGTTCAAAAATATCAGTTAAGTTCTTAATCTTATAGTTGATAAATTACAATTGCACCTTCCTTTCTTTTACTGATGCAAATTGGTCTATGATGTGGTCAAAGTCAGTTTTTTCATTTTTTTTTTTTCCTCTCTCTCTACACTCAGCATAACAAGATCACAGTCTTCCTTGACTCTTTTGATGCTCTCAAATACAAAAGTATTAGTTTTAACTTGCTGAATGATCTCTCACAGCTGGCAATGGTGTGCATTATCTGAAATGCAAAGATTGGGAAAGATGCTCCCATCTCTATAAATTTGAGGTCTTTGCATCTTGATATTTTAATGTTGCTCTGACTTGATAGTAGTATCCTGCAATTAAAAATTTCTTTTATATAGCTGCTGTCCATCAACATCAGAGTTGTACAATTCACCCAAATTTTCACACTTCTTTAGGTTGTTATTGTCAGTAATAGCACTGTACACAGTCCCTTGACTTCAAGAAGGAACCCAAACCTAGCACCTGTGTCTTGCAAATGAACAAACCATTAATTCATTTTGCTGTGAAGACAGCCAAATGTTTTCTTCATGATTCTTTTCATTTCCTCCTTGGCTGTTAACCCAGTGTCTCTCAAGTTTTCATCAGCAATTTGTTTTTTTCATATCCAATGTCTTTCATATTTAATATTCCATTCTTGATAGACACCTTTGAGTGATTCACTGACCAACATTTCTCTTTCATCATCAAAATGGTCTCAGAAGACTTAAATCCAGGGCAACATCATGGAAGTTTATGCTAGAATTCTACAGCCTTTTTTGAACATGGTCAATGTGAATGAATACTTTGTTCCAAGTTCTTAGCAAAGTCAGGAAATTGTAATTCAGTGTATGGTTATACAACTGGCTTGCATCACTTCTTGTTTCACTGCTCTCGTTTTCATCATCTGTCATGTCTTGAAGAACTTGAAGTATCTCCTCAAGGTACTTGACAGTTTCACTGCTTCTGTCCTTGCACTCCACCTGGTTCAGACTGCAAATTAACAACCACAGGCATGATGTTTTACAGTTTTTTCTAGAACTATTTTTACTTAATAATTTAAATAAATGGTTTAACAATTCAGCCATCATAGTGTTTTTCACCCATGAAATAAAAGACAAATCATATACCTGAAGAAAATTATTTTATCACTATCCAAAAATATCATATGTGACTTTTTATTAAATTGCTTAGTGGTGCCTAGGGCACAAATACTACCTTATCTTATCATACCTTAAGTAAGCCACTGCATATAATATTGCTATTGCATAATCCACATTTTCTTTCATCTTGTCTTTTAAACACAAATAACCTGGAGGTAACATACATGAAAATATGATATTTTATTAGTGTATTGTTTATATTACATTTTCAAATGCAATGTATGCAGTTCGAAGTAAAAGTAATTGTTCATGCTAAGTCTGCTGCTGTTTTCAGTTATAAAAATTGATTTTTTCAACATGAGTCTGTCTAGATTTTCGTCTGAGTCTGCATGAAATTTTTTGGAGGAAAATAAATTGTACATTTAGGAAACTTGGCTCAAATGAATGAATCTAAAAGTTGGTTAACTTGTGACGATGATATTTGTTCAGCTTGTTGCATCGTTTGCCAAAGGCATGCCAATTGCAAGAAGTATGAAAAAAGAAGTGCATCTTCTCATTTACCTTCTGCTTCCCCTGGTCATTGCATTGACCAATGAAGCTATTTCCAAAGATAGAAACCCTAGATGACATGAGGATAATTCTTTGAGTAAAAGAGAATATATTTATTTATATATATATATATATATTTTATTCTTGCTTTCTGTGAAAACAGAATGCAAGAATTAGGTCCCCCTGTTTCCAGACTATTTAGAGAATTTTTACATAGGTCTAAAAATATGTTTGATTTCACGCAAAAATGCAAAAAACCACATCTGCGTCCATAAATCTTGCATGCTGCTTTCTCTTAACACTTCCATTGTTAACACTTTCATGTTAACACTTCCATTGTTAAGGAATACACTTTTTTCTTCCCCCATGGTACCTTACTAAATGTGGTAGCCTACTAAAACACAGTCAAAAATGCAAAAAACCGCATCTAAAATAGTACAATAGAAGCCAAGTTCTTCAGGGTGAGCCTTAATCCTCTCCCTCTCCCCCACGGGGGGGGGTAATTTCGAAAAATCCCTTCTTAGTGTGTGTTCTTGTGACATACCCTAACTGTGTACCAAATTTCAACCTTCAACTCCTAATTGTTTGGGCTTTGCGATTATTATTATTATCAACCCATCTTGATTATATATATAGATAAGATTACAAATTTATTTTGTAAAATAAATGCACAATAAAAGCATGCATATAAATGGAAAATTTTCAGGTTTCTTTTGAAAGATTGATTCTGGATTTTCCAATTGTTTTCCATTCTTAAGCATAATATTTATTAATTAATGAATATACTGTACCTCGCTCATAATGTAAATCCTTAATTTTTCTGAAACAAAAATAAGTTTTATAAAGTATTCAAAACAGAATTGAAATTGGGAGAAATTTTGTATTGTCCCATCACTGATGTAAACTAATGAAAATAAATTACAAATAAAAATCTATGATAGATAGCTGCAGAGGCATATTTTAAGTTGACATCTTATAGTTAGTTAGTAAAAACTTTCAAGCTTTAGAGAGGTTTCCACATCATTTGCATTCAGGCATAATCCCTGAACTTTTGGCTATTGCTACATGCTTGGGTGATCTGAATATTTCTGATTATTCTAGCTTGATTCCACATGATTTCTGTATCCTCTGCAGTTGCAGAACAAGCGAACACTACTATTACCTGTGTTCACATCTTATCTATGTTCATACAGTTTCTGCGCAAGGTTCCTGCTAGTGTAATCCATTAGGCTACACTTCCAAGTTGCTACACTGCTGGCCATTAAAAACGCTACACCAGAAAGGAAAGTAAATAGCAGAATCATATTTATTGTACACATACAGTATAATGGAAAGAAGTCATGATTAAATTGACAGGTAATTTTGAGGTGCAGAGCATCCATCCAGCATGTTGTACCTTTCATGCAAATTTTGCATTTGTTGCATGCCACCTTCATGGTATAGCAATTTTAATGGCCGGCAATGTATTCCTAGCTGATACTATATTAACTCTAGCTTTGTGCTCCTCTCGAATCCTGTCCTTATTGTTCTGCAACAATCAATAAATAGTGAGATTTTGTTTATATACTAGTTTAGTCATGTGATGCCACAAACTTCTTTATTTAACTCATCCTATATTGAACATCTTGATTGATAAGATAGATCAACTACTACTTAATTATTACATCATGGCAAATGTTTACTATAGGTCAGTATATAAAAGTAATATAGCACAATGTTTTTCATCAATGACTAGCCTCTTCTGTATCACATGATCATTTTCCCAGAGTTTTGGTTTAAAAATGATTGTAAGAAAAGCTCTTTTTTTTTTTAATACATAGTCATTAGCAGTATGGCTACTAGTGATTGTAACTTAGTCAACTTTTTAAAACAATTATGTATTAGATATGTGTCTCTGATTTAATAAAAGGACATTTCTTTTTATCATTTCCAATTATCATCCATGATTACAACATAGGAAATATGATTTGATGCAAATTTTGAGAAGCACAGTTCAAAAGTATGCCCAACCTTAACTGAATTTATTTTAAGGCCATAATAAGTTAAGAAAAGTCTATACTTTAATGGGTAAATACATAAAATGGATCAGTAAAAAAAAGAAAAAGTAAACAGAATAATGTTGCTTATAACACTGTCAACTGTCAGATGTTTTAGTATTATTTACTTAAATTTAAATATTTTTCTGCCCTTTTTACAATTACAAGACAATTTTATAAAGAAAATATTTAAAATTAGAATTGATGATTTGTATTAATTTTTTTAATAAATATATTTCTAGGCTACTTGCTCTCAAGACTGCACAGTAAAATTATGGAATATTGAAACGATGGAAAATGTCAGTACGCTTACTGGTTTAAATGCTCCAGTTAAATATGTGACTTTGGAGGTTAGTTATAATTTTATTGATGATTAAATGATATATCAATAATTTGTATAATTATAACAAATTTTTTGTAAATTTGCTTTTTTCAACAAACACATAACCATTAACTATGCAGTAAATATTTACTCCAATATGTAAAACACAGTTTTAAAATTTGTCTTATTCCAAAAATGGAATGTTGTAAAACTGCTTTAGAATTGTTCTTTTTTGGACTGCAATTTGAAAAAAATGTAGACCTATAAATTCCCACTGTCCTTTCTTAATCTTGAGAACAAAGTTAGATAGATGAAAGCCAAGACTAGCTGAGAGGCAGGAGGCTCTGATTAACTATACCTAAACTCCTGATGCAAACTGAAAATCACATTATTTCAATTCAAAACTTTTCCCCTGAAAGAAGTTTAATAGATGACCAGTATGACTCTATTGCTAACAGGAAAAGTATGTTGTACAGGGGCAAGACACTCGAGGTGACAATTTGAGGTGGAGAGCATATACAGTGAAACCTCCATTAATGGAGACTCCTGAATAGCAGATGCCTCTACCTAATGGACATTTTTACAATCCTCAGACCCTTCAAATAGGACATCTATTATATTTACCTCTAAATAGTGGACACTATAAATAATAAATGCTGTTATCCATAACCAACCTTATGAAAACACAATGTCTCATATTCAATATTCTGAAAAATAATTAATTATGTATGAAATAATTTAAAATGAAAACAAAGAATTGATTAAAATACTCTTTCAATGACAAATTTTGACAATAGGCATCAAATAAAGACTGGCTTAAAATAGGAATAGGGGAGGAGGGCAGGTTATAAGAAGTCAAACAATATTCTTTATCTGTTAGAGAAGTTTAATCTGATTAAGTTGTCAATCAGCATTTATTGTTATACATATTAATGTTATTAAACTTCTGTCTTATTGTTGAAATTAAGCTTATGATACCAAAAACTATAAACTTTTTTGAATAACTTTGAAAAACTTTTTAGTTTTCAAAGTATTCCAGCTTTCAAAATATTTCTTGGCTTGTATAATAATCTTTTTTCATGATTTCAAATTGCAATCAGAATTGATTTGAAATTATTCTAGTTTACTAAATTACTTGATTTTTGAATTAGTTTGTAGCTAACGTAAATTTTGATGATAGAGATGAGTTTTTAAAAATTGTAAATGCTAGTAACAAGTAAAATTTTTAAGTCCAACCCCACTCAAGATATGACACATGACCCGTTCAGCCTTTAACCACCAAAATTTTATAGCATCAATGCCCTTTATATACAAATTACCATGCCAAATTAATTTCACTTCATAATCTTTACCTCATTCCCATCCTGAGATATTAAACAAAATAGACACACACAGAAAACTTTTTCTTTCATTTTCACAGTCTCAAAATGTTGAGTTTGCAAAAATTCCAGAGGGTCAAATTTGATATGATTACAATACTTTTCCATGTGTTATATATATATATAACAGCCAGGATAGTACATTTACATGCATCCAAAGTTATTTTTAATAAATTTACTAATTTTAAATTTCATATAACAAGCTAAGATGTATTAAAATTTTATAATTTATTTCTTAGGATAACTATGTAATTGCTGGAACAGTAGATGGAAGTATTGGAATTTGGACAAAATTTGGTGATACTGTTACTTCAATTTCTGCATTGACTGACCATAATTTAAATTTGGAGCCAGCTTATATTTTGAATAAAGGTAATATATTAATAGAAATTTTTAAATTTATTTATTTGATAGATTGATTAATATTAACAAAAACGACTTACTTCTGCTGTAAACCAAAACAGTGCTTATTTCAAAATATTAACATAAGTAATATTAACAAAAAATTAATTGTACAAACTAATGAATTGTTCAAATAGTGTGACCCCAATTTACAAATACTCAAATACTTAGCCCATTGTATCAAATTCTTATATTCTGTTTTTTCTTTGTCACTCTCTCTTCAATTTATGAGACAAAATACTGAGTACAATAAGCATCAATTGATATTTATGAGAAGATATATCGTAATCATGAGTGCATTGAGATTGAAATTCTTGCACCTCTGATTAGATGGCTCATACATTCCAGTCTCCAGTTCCTTTATTTCATTCACATTCTGCTTTGTTCCTAGAAGTAATACTATTCATTCCAATGCAGTAATGCAATTTAATGAAAAGACAATAAATAAACAGAAAACAAGTAAAATAAAGTGAAATAAAATTGTAATCATGATAGAAAGATCTGTAATATAAAGTTCATTAAATTGCTTTTGTTTTTTATCATTAGTTAAAATTTTTCAATCTCCTGAAAATGATGCAGAGTTGACACAGTAACTTTCAACAAGACAACTGGTAAACTGAATGTAGTTATACAGGTAACCCCCATATAACACGGCACTTCTATAGCACGGATTCGCTCTAACACGGTTCGAGAATTGGTACCATCCCCCGTATAACACGGTACTTTTATAGCACGGATTCACTCTGACACGGTTCGAGAATTGGGTAAAACCCTCGTACAACAGGAAATGTAATAAATTTTTACATACTTAAGTAATAATAGTTCACGAAAATTATTATTTTCGTGAACTATTAGTACTTAAGTATGTAAATTTTCTCTTCTCGCCTTCTGTCGATACACGTGGTCCTTCTCGAAACTTGTTTCAATGTTGCCAGATCGCGACGCTTCTGCTTCTGATGTTGCCGAATGTTTTTCCCTTATTCCATACTTGCTTTATTCTTCATAAGTGCTTAGCACCATATAAGGAAATTTATAAAGACCTTTTAACTAGAAGCAAGCAATCTAAAATTACATACATTTTGCAAAAGGTAAAGCATGGATCTGAAGATAATGCAGAAAAATGCTCAGAGGATAAGGATAACTTGCCAAAAAGAAAACGCTCTCGGTTAATTAATAGTGTTTTTAGTGATGACGAAGAAAACATTGTTTAATTTATATTAATATGTATCATTCTAAAAAATTTTAATGAAGATATTTATCGTAATTATGAAAATATACTAGCATGTTTTTTAATTTTTGGAACCTAACCCTCCTTTTTGTATTAGTTCTTTGTTTCGTATAACACGGATTCGCATAACACGGCAATTTTTTGGAACGTAACTACCGTGTTATACGGGGGTTACCTGTATTTATTTAACACATTAACATGCTGAAGGAAAGTATAAAACATACACATTCATAGAAGCACAGTTAATACATGTAATTGCTCCAGATTCTTTAAAGAAAGCTTTTTTTAGTTTTAAGGGAGGAGGAGTGCCAGAATAGGTGTCAACAAAAGCTGAAAGAGAAGATTGCCATCTTTTTATTCTGTCAATAGCCTGGAGAACAGCAAGCAATCAAATAATGGTACAAGATTGTTTGCTATGCTTTCAATTAGTTGTATGTTCTTTGAAACTTAGCAAAAAGTTGTTATTGAGAACAAATCATACAGGAACACTCCTTTTGATGGAAAAAGTAGATTTATTTTCTATGATTTACAGCAGATAATCATTTTGGGCTCTATGCTCCTCTTCAGTCATTATTTTATTATATTGACTGTTTTATTATTTTATTATAAATCAGTAAAACTATATAAGAAATTACATAATGTGTTTAACACTTACCCTGCTACGAACGTATTATTACGTTTCAGGAAGTCTTCGGTAAAACACGAAAAACGTAATATTACATTCTTCCACATATCAAGTTATTTTTAGCTTTAAAATGTAACATTATGTTTTTAGCAATGAAAATACAATTTCTATGTGTATTGTAGTGTGTCTGTTAATAAATAATTAGCACAATTTGTTTAGAAATTTGAAATATAAGCGATTTTTTACAACCGTGATCATCATCTGATTTAAAGTTTCGTCGCCATGTTTTGCAAGCGAATTTCGAATCATTTTATTTTTTATATGAGTTAAGTTAAATATGGCACATTAACGTACTAACTAATAATTGTTTGAATTGATTAATAAAAAATCAACAAATATATTGCCAATTATATTGATTTATCTGACAAAAATGTTGCGCGTTAGGCCTAAATCATAAGATTTAGGCCAAACTGAGATCGAAAAAAATATAAATAAGCCACGTAACTTCGTTATATTTGTTGATTTTTTATTAATCAATTCAAGCAATTANATATACTTTTGTATTGATAATATCTAATAAATCGAATTTCTAAATTTCAATCAGTGCGAATGCTATCTTATGTACATTTGCTGAACCAACTAAATTACGAAAAATGGCTAACTTCAGAAAAAATCTACTAATAATATAGATACAGTACATCATTATTTTGAATAAATTCATCGATCTACTATATATTTCATACATAAAAATAATAATTTTTAAGTTATATTGCAGTTTATAATTTTTTTCAATTTATCTTTATCTCTAAAGCATGTCCGAATAACATTGAAGTATAATACATAAAAACAAGACACACACACATCAAAATTAAGTAATGTACAGATAAATGTTCATAATATCAGACACTCTTTTTACTTTTTACCTAGCTTTAGTCTATCGTTTTTTATTTTTAGTAGAAAATACTGTAAAATCACGAAAATCAGTCAGCAGACAAGTAAGGAACTAGGTCAACTGGACCAGTGGGGTAAGTGTTAATAATTATTTACATTTAACATATGTGTAACTTACAAAAACCCTAAAAATCTGAGCCCAAAATACATATTCATTGTAAATCATAGAAAATAAATCTACTTTTTCCATCAAAACGAGTGTTCCTGTATGATTTGTTCTCAATAACAACTTTTTGCTAAGTTCCAAAGAACCTACAAGTACCATTATATTATTTTGTTTGTAAATTTAAGAAATTTTTGTATATGTAAGTATTAAAAAATAAAAATACTAAAAATGTAATTTTTTTAAGAATGTTTTTATTGATTTAAAACACAAAAAAACGTTTCTATAAATATAATTTTAAATTTGAAAAAAGTTCTGTTCTGTAGTGAGATAAGTTTTGAATGTACTGTATATCTGAAAACAGAGCAAAGTAATTCAGAAATATTTGACATAAAAAGACTCAACAAAATCTTTTATATTATTAAATTTGTTAATAATAAAAGAAATTTTTCCCAAGATTATTCTAAAATAATTGCATATTTGAAAATTATTTTATATTTAACTTTGTATTTATTCTAAGTAATATACAGTTTCATATATTTTATATTCACATTTATTAAAATATTAAAATTATTTTCTGAAAATTATTATATTAAATTCACAACGTGTTTTTTCAGAAAGTTTAAATTGTTTTTATTGATAATTGAGAATATTTTAATGATAAATATGATGATAAATGTTTTTAAATACTTTTACTTTTGAAATATAAATTAAATTAAATTTTTTTTTATCAAGATGAAAAAGTCTATCAACAATATTTGGCTTCTGTTGATGAGAATGATATATTAACTGTAAGGAAACCTTTTAATGTAAGTATTTTACATTCTTAAATCTGAATAATTCTATCCATTGCAATTACTTTGTATTAAAAGTAAAAATAAATTCAGGAGTTGACTTATTATTTAGATGATTGTATAATACCATATTTTTCTGACATTCCGAGAAATATAAAAGATAAAACCATATCTTTGTTCAGTTTTATAACTCATGATTTGATGATATTAAGTTTTTGGTTCTTCCAAAAAGAATGCTATCATAAAATTTACAGCACAACTGTCTATCGGCGTTATGGAAAAGTTTATTTATGCAAATACTTTTGGCAGTATATAACCATCCTCTTCAGGCAATATTAGCATTCACAGAGAACAGAATGCTACTAAATAGTAACATTACTTGGTATATAATGTTTTTACATTTTATAATTTTGAATGCTATCGTTTTAAATTATTGTAATCAAGTTAATTATTACTGAGAATGTTGAAATGTACATTAAAACATTGGAAAACTGGCCAGATTTCACATTTGTCTATTACAATTTCTCAATGCATGCACATGTCACATGGTACCGATCAACTGATACTCAAATTCTTATGCTTGCTACAGCATATCCTTAGTCATTCCTCCCACAGCAGCCATAATTCTACAACTGCTACAGATTATTCATGTTGCACAATGATGATTGATTCTGACTTTGCAAACTGCAAGACAAAATGCTTCTCTGTTGCAAGTTGTCATTTTTATTATTGTACTTTCTACAGATAGTAGATGACAAGACTTTTGAATGCAGGTGGAAGATAAAACTCAGGCTGTTACTGTCTATTGATGTACTGTACTGTACATTGCATACTTCTCAGGTAACAATTAACATAATTACAGTAATTTAAAATGGTAGTATTTATTTTGATAGACCCTATATATCATCTTTATGAATAGAATAAGTCAATATCATAAAATAGTTAAATATAATATTAAATGAAAATATTAAAAGTTATATATTTACATTAAATATGTTATTTCATAACAACAGAGTATGTTAAGACGTTTCTAATTTTTCATATGCTGTAAATGAAATCTGAACATACATAATGTTTCTGTATTTAGTAGACTTTAAAATTTTTCTTGTTTAGTAACATATTCTAACACTTCTGATTTTTTTTTTTTTTTTTTTTGCATTGCACTTAGACAAAATTATTATTAATAATATAGAGATCTGCTTTCATCATTAAAATTTAGAAATATAAATAAAATTTTATGACAATTTAATTGCAATTCATACGATAGCACAGATAATAATATATTAGTCAATATTTATAAATATATGCAAATACTATTTTTGTACAGATTATGGTATTCATATGCTATCTCTGTTTAAAAGACAATTAGAAAGGAGGTGCTGGTTATTGCTGATTTTAAATTGCAATTACAAAATTGTGTCTATGGAACAACAGTTGATCCATAGGCAGTATGTGGTGGAATAGGTTATGCAAAGGTTTTATTTTCATTTTAGCAATTTTCTCAGGTTATATGCCCAAATTACAATAAAATTTTTAAATAATAATTTTTGCTAAATTATNTTAGTCATTCCTCCCACAGCAGCCATAATTCTACAACTGCTACAGATTATTCATGTTGCACAATGATGATTGATTCTGACTTTGCAAACTGCAAGACAAAATGCTTCTCTGTTGCAAGTTGTCATTTTTATTATTGTACTTTCTACAGATAGTAGATGACAAGACTTTTGAATGCAGGTGGAAGATAAAACTCAGGCTGTTACTGTCTATTGATGTACTGTACTGTACATTGCATACTTCTCAGGTAACAATTAACATAATTACAGTAATTTAAAATGGTAGTATTTATTTTGATAGACCCTATATATCATCTTTATGAATAGAATAAGTCAATATCATAAAATAGTTAAATATAATATTAAATGAAAATATTAAAAGTTATATATTTACATTAAATATGTTATTTCATAACAACAGAGTATGTTAAGACGTTTCTAATTTTTCATATGCTGTAAATGAAATCTGAACATACATAATGTTTCTGTATTTAGTAGACTTTAAAATTTTTCTTGTTTAGTAACATATTCTAACACTTCTGATTTTTTTTTTTTTTTTTTTTGCATTGCACTTAGACAAAATTATTATTAATAATATAGAGATCTGCTTTCATCATTAAAATTTAGAAATATAAATAAAATTTTATGACAATTTAATTGCAATTCATACGATAGCACAGATAATAATATATTAGTCAATATTTATAAATATATGCAAATACTATTTTTGTACAGATTATGGTATTCATATGCTATCTCTGTTTAAAAGACAATTAGAAAGGAGGTGCTGGTTATTGCTGATTTTAAATTGCAATTACAAAATTGTGTCTATGGAACAACAGTTGATCCATAGGCAGTATGTGGTGGAATAGGTTATGCAAAGGTTTTATTTTCATTTTAGCAATTTTCTCAGGTTATATGCCCAAATTACAATAAAATTTTTAAATAATAATTTTTGCTAAATTATGGATGTATCTTACTTATATCCTTATGTTTTACTAGTAGAAAATATATTATTTGATGCTATTGTATTTGGTTTAGCATAAGAATTCAAAGTTTTGTCCTGTAAAATAAACTATTCTGATTTTTATAAATTAATATCAACTTAATAATTTATAATTAAAATATAATAATAATTTATTTTTACAAGTAATATATTTGTTGCACTATTTAGAAATGACAGCCTTTTATTAATTGAAATGAACATTTTTTGTTGACAAGATCTTTATATAGCATATAAAAATCTTTTGTAACAAAAGAAATATGGATTTTTTTTCCTTTGTATTTTTTTCTATGAGAGAAAATATTTTTCTTTCTTTGTATTAAATTTTAATACAGTAGTCATTTAAAGTTGTATGTAGTGGCTAATTAGTAATGAATCTGACTTTGTCACTTGATTATTAATGTATCATTCAAGGCCTTGTTTACTATATGGTAATGAATGCTTAAAATTTTTAAAAACAAAATTCTTTAAGAATTTATATATTAGAAAAGGATTTGAAATCAAGAGGATAAGCTTATTAGAACATTTGTTTGTTAGAGATTAATATATTGTTTATAGTTAAGTTTTATTTGTTCTAAAAGATATTCTTTTATAAATTTAGAAACCATTAGTGGCAACATTGGAATGTCATACAGGTCCTGTAACATCTTCATGTACTACACCAAAAGATACTCTTATTTCTTGCTCATCAGATAAAAGTGTAAGATTTTGGAAATTACCCAGCACTGATGAAACAGAGTCTCAGCTATGTAGCTATCATAAAGGAAAAATTACAGGAATAGGATTTTTACCAAATAAACAAATTGGATTTAGTTGTGATATTAGTGGTAAACTAATCATTTGGTCATTTAATTTGAGTGACGAGCAGAATCCTCTAATTTATAATACCGAAAAAGAAGTAAGTAATGTTTAATAATAATAATTAAAATATATACAATATTAAAAGCTTTTAAGATAAATTTTAAAGATAAGATTATTATTTTAGTTCCAAATTTTGGAGAAAATATAATGAATTTTATACATTTACAATAGAAGAGCAATGCAAGTATAATAGACCAAAATATTACAAAGTATTAATACAGTGGAGTCCTGTATAATGTGGAGATACATTCTATATTATAGGACATTGCATTATCAAGACATGCATTATCAAACAATTTTATGTAAGTTTTAACCCCTGCCTAGAGGTTTAAGAAGAAAACATATACAGGGTTTGTACAGACCTGAAAAGTCAGGGAATTTGCAAATACTGTGGAATCCATCTGTCGCTCTCGCTACCTTTTGATCCAAACACATCTTTAATGTCATAATTAGTCAGGGAATCAAAGACAGAATTAACTGTATGGACCCTGTGTATACTTCTGGACAACAAAATTATAATTTTTTTATGAATATTAGTTGCAATATTTTTGTTGCATTATACATATTCAGTTATAGGGAAGCATGTTATACAGTAGTCCACTGTATATGAAGATTATTCCAAAAGTAATGAGATTGCTTTACCATAAGCACCATTTGCAGGATGTGCACAAATTATACATGCATAGATGTACAAAGAATGCATATATACTCTGCAGCAATTTCATGGCCATATACTGGAAACTTTGCAAATCAATTTACAATACCAATATTATTTTTTAATAATCTCCCTCATATAAGATTAACCTTTTAAAAAATCAATTTTTCAAAAATATTTCCTCAAAATTAATGAAACTTTATGGGTTAATTGTACAGAAATAACCACCGTTTTTTTGCCTGGACCGCATTTAATCAGAGACAAAGCTTTTATTTGTATTCTTTATTTATTTATTTACTATGCCTTTCGGGTGCAATATTTTTGTGTAATTTGTACCCCTCTTCTCGTGGACAAGTCACTGTAAGGAATTTGGATGCACAATAAACGAAAAAAGTATAAAAATTATCCATAAAGAAAAAGATAGTTATCTACGAAAATTCAAAGAGCACTTCGAAATCATTAATAAAATTCAAAGAGCACTTCAAAATCATTAATAAAAGCAAAACCATAAACCTAAATGATGGAATGGAGGTTGACAACGTGTGGGAGGAAATGGGAGGAGCTAAAGGGAAAGAAAACAAAAAGAGGGGGAAACAGTCTAAAAATGCCTTAGGGGACATAACATCAACACTGGGCAGATGTCGATCTAAAACTTAAAACAGGTTAGTTAACTATTGTATAACTATTGTAGTAACATACCGTTGTAATAATTGAATTTACCAATTTATAGAAATGTAAAAAACCTGAAGAGGGGTGCAAATTACACAAAAATATTGCACCCGAAATGCACAATAAATAAATAAAGAAAGAATACAAATAAAAGCTTTGTCTCTGATTAAATGCAGTCCAGGCAAAAAAATGGTGGTTATTTCTGTACAATTAACCCATAAAGTTTCATCAATTTTGAGGAAATATTTTTGAAAAATTGATTTTTTAAAAGGAATATAAAGAAAACCGCACCATGGATATATACATATCTATTACTTATAAGATTAACCTCTAATTTCATTGGTATCAGCTTTAAGAGGTTTTGATAATTTTATAATATCTTGTAATTGACAAATTTCTCAAGCTATTAATATCACAGAAACTGTTAAGTTTCGATTGTGAATGCATGAACCATATCATTAAGTTCTAAAATTCTGCTAATTATGTAATAAATTGAGTTCCAATGTATTGTTATTTGTTGAATTTCTTTTTTATAAAGCTGATTTTTTTATTGTTGCTATCTTGTAATTTTTTTAGTACATTGCTCACCTTAGAATATTATACATTTTTATACACTCATTCAATATTCTTCACTTTTCAGAAATTTCTTTCAATTTTTCTATTAAATATTTCAAATGATGATATAAATTATTTGGTCATTTTCACAAAAATGCAAAGTTAAACCCAAGAAAATTTTGGAATATGTAGCGTCAAATGATATGTCTAGTTATGGTATAGTGGTCATTTTGAACTTTTGCCAAAAATAAAGGTAAAACAGCTTGACACTTTATCTAAATTATTAGCCATTGTTTTCTGAGAAAAAATTTTAAAACAGAGATAAATGATATTTAAAAGGTTTAAAATCTTTCATCTTCAACAGTGGCTGATAATTGATATGTATTTGAAACAAAAAATGATTTATGATATATGTATTTGCATTTGAAAGTTTTGCATAATTAGAACCACCCTCCTTGCAAGATGTAATTTCCTGAAATGTTTGACCAATTGTTCTTTGTCTTTTAAAAACTATTTTTATCCCTTTGAAGAGATGATTTACATGTGAACACAACTGGGAAGCTACTAATAACACTATCGTACTTTCAGAAGAATCAGGATTTAATTCTGACATTCTTGTTCATCTACCATTAAATGATGTATGAAAATTAAAAAATGTTGAATCATCACAAGTTATTGTAGGTAGATCAGTATAAGATGTTAATTGTTTTTCAGATTTGGCTTCTTTCATAATTTCTTTTTAAACATTTTATGGTTACTTTTTACAAGAGATTTCAAATTTGAAGTATTTCATAATGTTAAGGTTGTCTTTAAACATAATATACCATATGGCATAATTCTTTTCCTTATTTTTTTTCAAAATATTGCTATAATAAATAACTTTTAGACAGCATTTTTTATCTGTAAAATTTTTATGCTGCATTTAAATCTAAAACTAAAATTATGTAGCTTTTGTAATTAATTTTTGTAAAAATTCTCAAACCAGAAACAACCATCTTAGTCAATTTTGATGTTAATAATTAATTAAATGAAAAAAAATGACTTATTTGAAAATTTTATACAAAAATCATTCAAAGTCAGATCTGTTCTAAACATTATATTTTCACACTGCATATAAAATATTTCCAATTTGAATAAATACTTTATAAAATGAATGTATTTATTCTTTTATATTAACTAATCCACAGTTTGGAAAATTAAATTATAAACTTTCTTTAAAACCTTCTGTTGTATATTGGAGAAAGATGTAATTATACTAGTGTAACTAATAAATGGACCATAAGTGTAATAATACAATTGCTTCAACCTAGTATATTAATTAAGGCAGTTGTGTTTTAGTGCAATATCTAATTGGCTTCAAGTTATGCATTCTAACAATTTTTGCAAGGTATATGCAAGATGCAAGTTACATACAGGAAAGTATGATATTTGGATTACTGTTTGTAATTCTTATCTATTTAATAAATATCTTCCTTTGAAATTTTGAATTTCTTGTCAAATATTCTGTATTTACTTCTTTAGCAACAAGTTTTTGTGGTGCCAAAACCATTGTTGTATATTATATGACTTTTTTAGAAGATTTAATTTTGTTTTACAAGATATTTTAAATACTAAATATAATTTAAAATATTGAATATGTTCTTTTTAAATCTGTAGAAAGAATCATAATGAGAAAAGTACTAACATATAAATTGAATTTATAAAATTGTGTTGAATACATCATGAAACATTTGAGATCTCCAATGTTATTTTCTCAATAAGAGAATATTTGTATTCAGGAATACAATCTCTGCATGATTCTATATTACTGATACAGTGAAATGTTGTAACAAACACTAGTTTAACAAAAACAAAATTTTCAGTATAATGAATATATCTTGAATACCCATCAATTTCCTATTCAGCTCAATGCAAAAATGTTTTAATTTAACAAACATCATTATAATGAAAATTTCAGTTTAATGTAATAAAAATTCTGTCTGTTACAAAAGAATAGTTTCATTATAGCAAAATTTATAAATGCATAAATCATTCGTAATTAGTAAATGATGAATATTATGTCAAAATCTGGCAACATTAATTTTAATGTCTGGTTCAACTGTCAATGCTAATTTTAATCCTTAGTTATGGTTTTGTTTTGATGCTATTACCCTACAGATTATTTTTTTTTTAAGTTTACAAGAAAAAATGGAGAAAAACAAAAAAATGAAAGCAGTTTTCTTTGGAAGAGAATAATAAAATATTAGATAATGTACAAAAAAAAGGAATTAAATAAAAAGAAGTGCCTGACTGCTTATTGCTGAATGTTGTGACAGAGTACTAGATTTTTATCAAAAAACTGTGATTAAAGAAACAACACAAAAATTAAACTTCTTTTAGCCACAAATAATGACTTCAAGTAAAAATAACAATTAGAGAGGCAGGATTCCAACTAATTAGTACTGCTATATTATTTTAGTTATACAGTGGGTGATCGGTTAATGAACATAATCTGTTCTAAGACTTTGTTTGCTATCCGAATTGTTCATTAACCAATTATTGATTTACCATAGATTTTTATGGGAATTTGATTAATTCTTTCTGGAAACTCCAAAAAAATAAATAAAAAATTATATACTTTCTTACTATGTTTATTTACATGTAATAAGAAACTAAAAGCAATCTCTCCATTTTTTCATAGATAACACATCTTTGTTTCTCAGATGCAATTTTCATTATTCATTTAGCTGCTCAAGTCTTCTTAATTATATTTTTCTTAGCTAAGATTGTGCTACTGTAGACCTGTTCAAGCCATACTGCCTAGTACCATCAGACATCTTTGGCCCACACTCTAGCTATTCTCTGTTGCTTGGTCTCTAAGGTGAGCACAGTTTTTGACACTCCACTCTTTTTAGGGTTCATAATATTATCAATGTCTTTTTGAAATAAAAAGTTCAGAAAAGCACTCACAAAAATTCAGTGAACAGAAATCAACTAGAGCATGAAAGAGTTATGTAAATGTGAAACCCAAATGAAATTCGAAATTTTGGTGTTAAACCGTTAACAAATATTCAATAGGACAGTTAAACTCTCGCCTTTAGAAAATAAAAACTGACACAAAACTTAACAAGTGTCCAACAGTCTCAAAAAGATTATAAAAATTACTTGTCAGAAAGGTAAACAAAAAGCTGGAATTACAATGGAGAGTTTCAAAGTTTGGAGGAATGATATCTGATTAGTATCGGGTTGGACATCTCCTGTGCTCCAAAAGGTTTTGAATTGTTACTTAGAGTCAAGTGAAAACCAATTGGTATTCATTATTTTATGTCATTTCTTTCTATGTTTGTTCTGTGAAGTATTCGTTGTTTGAACATAAAAATCTTTTGTGAAAGTGTTCATTATCCGATTTATTCACTGTCCAAACTGTTCATTACTCACTATATATCACTCACTGTATTAAATATAGAATAAAAATTAATCTATAACTTACATTCTGAAAATATAAAATTTGGTTCCATATAAATACTAATAGATAAGTTGCATTTTTAAAAATTTTCTTACTTCAAAATGTAAGTGATTTTACTTTTTCATTATTATTATCAATAAATATTTTTTATCCTTGAAATACGACTATATTTCTATATAATGAAATTTCAGTGTAACAAAAACATTTCAATGTTTTTGTTACACTGTTTTTGTCCCCTCAATTTCATTATACCGACATTTCGCTGTATTTATTTTGAGAAATATCTTGCAAGCATTGCCAATGTTCTTCATCTATAATAAAAACCATATTCAAGGCAGCATATTGCAAAAAATATGATAATCAATTATATTTCTAAATGAAAAACAGATATCTGATATCATCTTATTTTCAATGATTTGAAAACAAAATTTATTTTCAGAAAATAAGCTTTAAAAAATCATTATTATTACTTTTAATAATGGCTTGGCTATTCAAGTAGTAATTTAATTTAAAAATTATTTAAATTCTAATGCATATATATACAGAGACAACTCATAAGTAGATAGATGTCTTTATTTTCAGACACTGTTTATTATTTCACAGTATCCATGTGATACAAATGCCACATATGCATATTAAAACCACAAAGCCTTAATCCAATTGGACATGGAATTAACAAGTTCTGCTGTCTTGGCCTGTGAAATATTAGCCCACTAAGCACACAAACAATCTAAAAGTTCTCTGGGGAAGCAGATTTTTGTGAATGTCATCACACTGCATGATCCAGCAGATTCCAGACATGTTTGATGGGATTCGTGTCAGGTGACTGACTGCCCCGTGGAAACTTGCAGATACCTTGTGTGGCCAGCCAATTCTGGATCTTTTTGCCAGTGTGGCAAGGAGTTCCCACATCCATGAACAAAGTGGATGCTTTGTCCATATACTATATTAGAAAAAGACCCTTCTCTAATGTGGCAATATATTTTTCAGAATTAATATTACCTCATGCATTTGCTGACATTCAGCATATCTATTTACCTATGAGTTTTCTCTGTAGAATAAAACTAAGAAAATTCATAGAATTAGAAATTCCAACTCTCTTAAATGTAGAAAGCAAAAATTGAAAACTCAATTTGATAGTCTTTGTTTTTCTGATGTTAATGAAATATCAATTTTAACTTAATTTTTTTGTTTATGAAATTGAAGTGGTAAGTTTAAAAAAAAAATTCATACTTAGTTTATTGTCTGAAATTTGTTACAATTATAATATAGAAATTTAAATAAAAGTAATACTTAATTCAATACATATTTTAAATCTAATATTATTATTTAATTTAATTTTAATTTTTGTATGTATTTAATTAAAATATATGAAAATTTTTTAGTGGCAGATGGGATCTGTTATAACTACAGTTTGTAGTCAAGCTGAAAGTAAACAAATTTTAATTTCTGCTGTAAGTCAAAGAATTAAAGTAGAAGAAAATACAGAAAATAGCTTGGAATATTTTGTTGTAGCTCTTCATCTAACTTCTAATTCCACACTAAAGTAATTATATTATTTTAAAATATTTATTTATTGTATTATTATCATTAATAATTATTTTCATACTACTTTATAAGAGATATAACAACTACATACACAATATATTTAACAAAGAAGCAGTGACTAAATGTGATATCTATGCCATCTCCCAAAATATGAATGAAAAAATTCAACTGATCTTTTTTATTTCACATAGTATCAACATTTCTACACTATTTGGAGTTTATTTTTTATGAAAATAAAGAGAACTACACTGTCTATTTATTGAACTATCACTATAATACCTAGTTCCTTGGACAATTATTATTTTAACTGTTGCAGACAAATTATCACTTTAGTTATAGCTTGGGTTCAAATCATTAGTATCCAAAAAAACAAAAAAACTAAACTAAAGTTTTTCCAGAGCTGTTCAGTCCAGAATTATCATTTTATTATATATAAATCAGGTTTGGAGGTTTGGGATATTGATGATACATGATGAGTCAGTCACTTGCCTCCACTAGTCTGCCATTCCTTTTACACACACTCCTCTCAACGTCCCCTATCTAACAACCAGAGCACATGCTATCCTAGTTGTATTCCTGTATAAAACCAAGCTCAACAAATAATACATCCAGATTTTAATCTATCTATAATATAGCTAATTAATTATAATGACTATATGTCAGGCTTGGTTTTGTATGTAATTTATAAATATATGCAATACACTATATATATAATAAATCCTCACATAATTGCCCAAGTATATATTTTCACTTAATCATTCATTTTAAATACCCATGGGTGATTAAGTGAAACATTTGTTTTTTAATAATGTAGTACTGTAAAGACTGGTTTCCATTATACAACTTCATCCAGCAAAATGGATTTGTGTAGCCTAGCACCAACCCATTTATGGACATCAAAATCACAGAACAGAACAAACAGATCACATTTTATTTTTTGACAGATACAAATGCTTATGGCTAGATGTCATCAACTAACAGTCAATAGGAAATGTTTTCTGTTCAAAAGTTATGGTGCTTGTAATGAAAAGCTTTATTGAGCTGAAGGGAAAAAATCCATTTTTAAATCCAAACTATCCAACTTGAGAGAATATTATGCTAGAACTTAAAAAATAATAGTAATAATAATAATAATATATAGACAAAAATTTTGGAAGAATTTGATATTGTTGGTAATTCTAATCTCATCTGCTATTGGACAATTTACTTATGATGGAAAATTTCTAGTGTGATCAAACATCCATTTCACTATTCTGTAACAGACATCATTGAAATATGCAAAATTTCATGTAATTGCCCATGGACAATTAGGTGAGGATTTACAGCCTATATCATGCCAGGATATAGTTGTCTTAGAGCTTAGCTTAAGTTGTCTGAATGCTATGGAGGGTCAATGGCATATAATTATATGCATTTGGTCCTCTAATTTTTCAATTGTTTCTGATTGGAAAATTACAGAAACTCTAACAACAATTTAGAATCACCTTTGTAATATTAATTAATCTTACATGTTATATTATTTTTTATAGTGAATTACAATCTTATTATTTGGATGAAGAAGTATCATCAATGAATGCAGGCAGAAAAAATATAGTAATTGGTCTTAAATCTGGGTCAGTTATGATAACTGATAATTATTTGAAAAGTCAAAGAATCATTAAAATGTATGAATACAAAATTTATTTTTAAATAAAATAATTAAAAACTTTTGAAATGAAAGGTGATAAATCAGTTATATTTCAAGAAAATCTACTGGTAAATTGAAATTTACATTTTGTATTCTCAAATTATACTATTGTTAGCTAAATTTAATTTGTTCTACTTCTGATTTTTATTATAGTTAATATTAATTTTCAGAACTATAAAGAAATTATAATACCTAACCTATGCTAAACCAATAAAATTTGAAGAAATTTTATCAGTTGTCACCTTTTATTTCAAAGTTTTCAACTATAAAAACTTATTATTTCCTTAATTAAAAAATATATTATGTAACAGTAGGAGTTATATTATCATATTATAGAGTTTATATCTCAGTTTAGGTTTCTATTATATTAAATTTAATTTTTCAACTAGATGGATTAGCATATTAAGCTGTATCATATCTGTATAAGTAAATGTACAGTACATTGCATAATTTTAAAAATTTAGTGTTTTGGTATTAATAACATAAATACCAACACAAATGTATATAATTCATATTTAAACTACTCAAATGCATTCAATGTATTACAGTCAAATCACCCTCAGGAACAATAGCTTGAATTATAATATAATATATATATATAAAGGGTGTTTTGAAATTCCTATTACAAACGTATAGGATAGATTATTTAAGAAAAACAAAGATAAAACTGTTCAGTAACATTTTTGGAATAACGTTTTTATTAAGGAGTTATAGATGTTTAAAGTTCAGTGATATCACTTTTGGAATTTGATGCATCTGAAAACATTTTTAAAAATATATGCATACTTTTTAGCGTAATGTTTCATTTTCATTAAACTCCACTTTTTTCTTCAGGATCACATGAGTCTTATTTATAAGATTCCTGTAGAGTTGGAGGAAGATCTGCTTATACAAATTATAATCTCAACACAAGAAATTCAACACATACCAGGTATTTTTGAGTGGATGTACCAGAACATGCTTTGCCAATACAATGTTTGCATAGAATTGGAAGTCATCATATTGAGCAGCTCTTGTAGTGGATTAGGATGCAAAGCAAAACAAATGCTTAAGAAGTATTACATATTTTTATAAAAAGAACATTACTTTCAAATACACAAACATAAAGTATGAGGGCTGTTTGGAAAGTTCGCAGCCTTGCCTATATACGGCACTGTGATCAATTTAATTTTTTAAAGGAATAATTCAGCCATCTTTGCTAAAGATACGATACCAATTTCCACTTGATTTGTCGTAAAGTTTTGCCACAACAGCTTAGCAGATAGTCAGTGTGCACATGCTTTGTCAAAAATGGAGAAGATGGAGACTTGTGCAGTCATAAAATACCTGACGAAAAAGGGTTGACCCCATCTCAAATCAAAGCTGACATGGATGAAGTTTTGGGAGAGTCTGCTCCTTTGTACACCACTGTGAAAAAATGGACAGCCCTTTTTAAATCTGGCAGAAAGAGTGTGGAAGATGACCCTTGCAGCGGACAGCCATCAACTGCTTCACTGAAGAAAATATCGACAAAGTTCATGATTTGGTGTTAGCAGATCACTGTTTGAAAACGTGAGAGATAGCTGAGACAATAGGCATCTCTGTCGACTGAGTGCACCATATCCTAACCAAATGTTTGGGTATGATGAAGGTCTCAGCAAGGTGGGGCGTCTGCTGACCACCGAGCAAAAACGTGTTTGCACTTTGGTGTCAAAGGAGTGTTTGGACTTATACCACAAAAACCCACAGGATTTCTTGCATCGGTTTGTAACTACTGATGAAACGTGGATCCACTATTACACTCCTGAAACAAAAGAACAGTCGAAGTAATGGAAACACCATAGTTCGCCACTACCAAAGAAGGCAAAGACAGTTCCATCATCAGAGAAAGTGATGGCCTCAGTTTTTTGGGATGCTAAAGGCATCATCTTTATTGGCTACATAGAGAGAGGAAAGACCATGCTGTCTATTACTGTGAACTTTTAGAAAAACCGAAGAAAGAAATTTGAAGAAAAGAGGCCACACTTGAAGAAGAAAAAGGTTCTGTTCCACCACAATAATGCACCTACAAATTCTGCCAGAATCACTGAACAAAAGATAAACAAACTTCGCTTCCAATTAGTTCCACATCCACCGTACTCACCTGATTTGGTTCCCAGTGACTTCCACCTTTTTCCAAACCTAAAAAAATTCTTGGCTGGAAAGAGATTCCACTCAAATGACGAAGTCATCTCTGAAGTGAACGAGTATTTTGCACACCTTGACAAATCGACCTATTGTGATGGCATAAAAAAGCTAGAACATCGCTGGAATAAGTGCATTGCTAACA